ACTACTGATGCTATCCTTCCTCCCCCTCGTATTAAACTACAATCATCACTTGAAGAAATTATTAATTCTATTCGACATAGTGCTCATGGAATAAGTCAATTACCTAAACATTTCGTACGGTGGTTACATGGTACATGTATACCATGTCCCGTAATACCAGTACTTGATGAAAATCTTGAATCCTCTGATTTTACTTTTTATAATGATGTTAAACAACATCCGGATGTCGTAAGTAGGAATAAACTATTCTTTTGCTTGTTTATTCGACTTAATTAAGTTAAGTATTAAATGGTTTTATTTAACACTTAAAATTCAATTTAAGTGATTGCAAATCATCTACAGAAATTTTACGCTTTAATCAATCAGAATTCAGGAAACAATGTCATCACTATTGTAAAGATAAATCATATTGCTGTTCGGATTTACTAGTCAGTTCTATCTTGAATGATTTGGACACCATCATACTGAGTCCGTATTTCAGAAGAGTAAAACATGAAGTTAAATGATATTTGTCAATCCATCATATAGAATCTCAGCCATTATAAATACAGGAGAGTTGAACATTTTTGTCCACACACTCGGTCAAGAGTATAGGTTAGGAAAAAACCTATTTTCCGGAGTTATGAAGTTCAAAGGCACTATAGGCGCCATCCATTATCCTGCACTCTTGACGAATTAGATGCACACAAATTTTCAGACCTCTAGCATCTATAACGGTTGAGATCTCATCTTGGACGAACAGTTTTGTCTACTATTGTAAGTATTAAATGTTTTATGTTGATTCGATTACTTTTAGATTTCAACATTAAAACCAGTTCGATCTTATGCTTCTGGATTAGTTGCTTCTATAAATCAAACTCTTACTCAATTATTAACATATAATGATTTATGGAAAAGTGATAAACAAAAATATACAAGTCGATTTGCTTTAAAATCTCGTACATATTCTGATTATGATGAAATAATGAAAATTTTTTCTAATATTTATTCAATTGAATTATGTTTTAAACAATTTCATCAAGCATTAACATATCATTGTAAAGAATAGATAAATCATTATGGACAACATTTATATAATAAAATGTCAAATAAACTTAAAGAAATTGATGAATTTGATATGGTCCATAGACAATTAATTGATTATCCAAACTTAATACGTATTCAAAAAGAAATAAATGGTTTAAATATTTTATTTAATATTTATGATGAATTTAAACGAAATAAAAAATTATGATCAAATATTCTTTGAACAGGACTTAATATTAATGATTTAATTATTAATGTTTTAAAACAACAATAGTTGGTCATACAGTTGAAATATATATTTAACAGGTTATTTAATATAATAAAATTTATCTATTAACGATTTATCTAGTACATGCATATGTTTACATTCATTTTGAATAGAATCTTATCNTGTTCTCAGTGTAGTTTCTACTCAAGTAAAAAGTATTCAACAAGCATTATCATTACATGTTAAACAATTTTTTTTTTGAACACAATGAAATTCAACTTCTATCAACTGTTGGTATATTTGTGACAATGAATCCAGGTTATGCTGGTCGAACAGAATTACCTGAATCAGTTAAAACTTTATTTCGACCTGTTGTTGTTGTGTAAATAGCTTTTCATCAATTTTTTATTTTATTTTATTTTGTGGAACTCACATGTAATTCTAAAGAAAATAGTGAGTGTGAGTTTGAATTGAGGCATTTGCGACTGTATCCTAGGCTCTAACAACGGTGGACGATATTTGGATATACGTTTCCATAGCAATCAATGACAACAAACTGATCAAATTATAACTTTGGAAAATAATCAGTATGAGTATGTCTGAACTCATGGAGATATATAATAGTATGTTGAGACCTATTATTGATATAAAATATTTTGAAATTCCGAAATAAATCAGATAGATAGCTTTTCTAATGATCGGTTATCCTTGAAAAACAACTATATTCTGCTACAAATTTTCTGTGTGACGTACTTTCTATTAGTATGGCGAGACTAGTGAATACAAATGAATTCCATATTTTAACCTAAAAGGATCTGTGCTGACAAGATTTTTTTTTTGATATAAATAGATTTACTTTTAGTGTTCCCGATATGCAATATATTGGAGAAATAAAATTATTTGCTAATGGATTTATACACGCAAAGATTTTAGCTAAAAAAATGGTAACATTATATCGTTATGCATCAGAATTACTTAGTAAACAAGTATATTAAATTTAAAGCAAAAGTTTTTTCTTTTTTCTTTTGATATATTAGTATCATAATGATTGGGGTTTCAGAAGTTTTAAATCTGTTTGATCAATGACAGGTTATTTAAAACGAACATCAATGAAAGAAGATCCGGAAGAAATCGTTCTTTTAAGAGCATTACGTGATATGAATATACCAAAATTTATTTTTTACATTATTAAATGATTTATTTCCAAATATTCATTGTCCAGAAATATCATATAAAAATTTTAATCGAATTATTAAAGAAATATTAATCAAACAGCAATATATTTTAGATTCAGAACAATTGGTCAAACAAAGTAAAAGAATTTATTATTATTATTAAAAGAAAAGATTTTATTCTGATTGTAGTGGAGGAAAGACAGTGGTGTTAAACACTTTGGCGGAATCACAAACTCAAATGGAAATGAAAACAAATTTGTATACATTAAATCCAAAAGCATTAAGTGTTATTGAATTATATGGTACACTTGATCCATTGACACGTATGTACATATATATACATATATGTTAGCGTTCAATTTCAGACCTCACTTTGAAAGGAGATTAATCCCGGTCAATTTCGAACTAACGACTAAGTATCTTACATTCCATATGAAGGTGTTGGTTGAATCCAAAGAATGTAATGAATAAAAACTGAAATAGAAAAACATGAATGATATTGAATCATCGTTTTTTCTAAAGCAAAGTTCGAAAAAGTAAAAAAACAAAAATTAATTTATATTGCGATTGCGGGTGTAAAAAAGATTAGATATTGTATTTTGTTGAAAATAAAATTTCATGTTCCATGGTTACCTTGGGAATCCGAGAATAATCTAAATTAATGTTTGTCTAACGTGAGATTCTAGATTGGATGCTAAAATATAATTTTACTTGTGACATAGAGAAGAATATTATTTATATGTAGGTGAATGAACTGATGGTGTTGTCTCAATGCTTTATCGAATGATTAATCGGTCAGCAATACGTAATGAAAGACGTTATATTATGTTTTTTTTTCTTCGATTAATTTAATAAAATAAATGTAGTTTCTATTTGTTTTTATTTTTTAGAATTCAGTTATGGATGATAATAAATTATTAACATTAGCTAATGGAGAACGTATTTTAGTTTACAAGATTATTGTTCATTATTATTTGCAGATGGCGATTTAAAATATGCATCACCAGCAACTGTATCACGTTGTGGAATGATTTATGTTGATCCAGAAAATTTAGGTCCATATGCAATATGAAAACGTTGGTTAAATATGAATTTGAATTTAACTGATCGCTCAAATAAAAAAAGATCAATTAGATTTACTTTATGATCGTTATACAAAAAATATTTTAAATTTTATTTATCATGGTTTAACAGAAACTGGACAAAGACCAAGAATGAAAACGATTGTTCCATTGTAAGTAGACAAATAAAGAATGTTATTGTTCTTAGAACTCAAGCGAATATTAGTGTACAATTAACAAAATTACTTGATTCATTATTTTTACCATTAATTAATCATGAGAAAAAAGATCAATTAGAATTAAGTTCTGATAAAATTCATGCTATATTTCTTCAAGCATTTATTTGGTCATTTCGTGTTTGTCTTAAGCAAGAAGATCGTATCGTATTAGATATAATTATTCAATATTTATCAGCTCTTTCAACTGTATCAATAGATTTAAAAGCTAAATCAGGACAATTACCTAATGAAAAACTTCTATTATTTGATTATATATTTCAACCAGAATTAGATCAATGCATTAAATGGAATGATCTTATTCTAAAATATGAAAATGATCGATCAAAACGATTTACTGAATTACTTGTTCCGACTATTAATACAATTCGTTTAGGTATAATAAAAACAAAAAACGTATGTCTTTATTTAAAATATACGATTAGTATCTCTACTATTATTTTCTTCATTCTTTTTGTCAAAACTAAATAATGTCTTGTTCATTGAAATTTTTGTTCTTTTTTCCAAGAAAGACACTTCCACATATAAAAACCTTTGTTCTATTACTGAAATTCTGTTCCCAAAAAAACAGAACAGAACTTTTCGGACATATCAGTTACTATCAGATGAATGATTTGAATAACACATGACACAATAATGAACCATCTTGTGTATTTGGCAATTTTGAGATGTTCGATCTCAATGAATTTTTTGCCTATTGATACTATAGAGTATTCTAGTGAAAATTCTAAAAGAATTTGAGTTCCTATTGAAACTTGATGGAGCTATTGAATTGTCAATGTCTATTTTTTGGAAAGCTTAGGTTTTTGCAAAATTTTATTGTTGAGTATTGTCTTGAAGCTATCTCCATTTGAAGGTCTCATCCATAGTAGTTTGTAGATTTGGTATCTCCGAGGTATGGCATTTTCGATAATAAGCGTTCTTCGAAGTGTAGTCAATAATACAATAATAATTATTTTGAAAAGTTCATATCATGGAAAAACGAAGTCTAGAAACTATGCAACATTTAATACAACCTACTACTTATGTATTATACCTTTGAATAGAGATTATTTCAAAACAAGATTAAAAAAATACTATATTTAACCCAAATCCTGTTGCGCTGTACATTAGAATACTATATAGTGTCTATAAGCAAAACAAAATCATTGAAACCGGCATCTGAAGAAATCATCTGTTTAGTTTTGAATTTATTAATATTTCATAGAATATTGATTTAGAATGGTTAATTAAATCTATGATAATCATTCATCAACCTGTTTTATTCGTCGGTAATACTGGATCAAGTAAAACAGCAACTATTCTATCTTATATACGTAATTTTGATTCACAATATACAAATTTAATTTTAAATTTTTCTTTTCGTACAAAATTAATGGATGTATAACGTTCAATTGAATCTCAATTAGAAAAAACGTTCAAAAGATACTTATGGACCAAAAGCTGGTACTAAATTAATCATATTTCTTGCTGATATTTCTATGCCAACTTAAATTACTTATTGAAAAGCATAGGACGTATGAACGAACTGGAGAACTTAATTGGAAATTTGTTACAGATAGTGGTTGGATTGCTGCAATGAGCACTCCTGGTAACGAATTACTATTAGAGAACTACGCAAACTGATATTCATCGTTTAAATTTATATTGAGTCTACAAAGTCGTCTAAGTGAAACTAGAATAAGCCTAACATGGTTCATTCCCATGAAGCTTTGGAGTCAAGTTAGGATTGTTTTACAGAGTTTTTGATCCAGCTTTAGATATATATTGAATAATCAAAAACCTGAACTTGAACGCGAAATTTCGCCTATAGATAAGTCGAACGACTTATTGAATATCTTGAAAGTTTCAGCTAGAAAGAATGTTCTTTTTTCGAGATATCGAATGTATCTAGAAAATTCAATAGCTTGACACAAAAAAACATTCTATTTTGCTAAAACTTCCGTGATATTCTACGACATTTTATGTCGAAATTTTGCTTTTTTTTTATTTTGGTGATGTGACTGTTTAGACCTTTCCTTAAAAAGTTAAAAGTATTTAAAAAATCGAGAGAAAGCGTTTTTCAGTCGATTTTTTGGGAAATTTCATTTTCTGTGATACTTTTAACTTTTTAAAGGAAGGTGGTAGAAAATTTGGCGGCCACTCATTTCGTTTAGAATTTTGTTTTCTTTAAAATGGTATTCCTAAAAAATAGCCTCCTGGTCCTTGAAAACTCCCATGTCTGGATCTTTTAAAAACCTTAGTGTTGAATGTATTAGATAGAAAACTTCATTGACTATATTAAAGTTGTTGTACAACTTTTTTTCTGCCATCTTAGACTCAAACGACGGGTATCAATTCGAATGGTTCTCTCATTAGAATAAGAAAATTGTTAAACCTACTGATTTGTTTCTATGTTGTAGGTGGAAGTAATAATAATATTGATCCACGTTTTATAAGTCATTTTAGTATTGTCTATATATCATCTCCATCACGTGATTCACTATTTCGTATATTTTCAACAATATTACAAAGTCATGTAGAGCATTTCCAATAGAAATTCAAGAAATAATTCCAAATATAATAAAATATACATTACAAATCTATGAAGATATTCTTCGATTATTTCTTCCAACACCAACAAAATTTTATTATATATTTTCATTACGTGATCCTAGTCGAATAATACAAAGTCTTTTACAAACAGCACCTGAAAGATTTAATACTATTAAAAGATTTTTACGTATTTGGTTACATGAATGTATTCGAATATTTTCTGACCGATTTAATGATATAAAAGATAATGAATTATTTAATACAATTGTACAAAATATTATTGATAATAATTCTTTATTAAAATCTCATCGAAATTATTTATTTCGAAAACCAATTTTATTTCCTGATTATCGTACAATATTACAAAATGATGAAGCAAAAATTTATGAAGCTTTACAAGATTATCATGCTATAAAATCAATATTTGATGAAATTATTTTAAAATATAAAGATAAATATGGATATATTGATATTGTTTTCCCTCTACTGAAAGAAGGATCTTACGCCGAAATGAGTTGATTACGTTCGTTCGCACAGAACAAAAAAAATGTTTTTTTAACCTCTCTCATGAAAACGCTCTATAAAGTTTGACCGAAGGCTTTTGGGGTCGAGGAATGAGATTTCGTGTGTAGTTTTTCAAAAAATTTTAGTCAATATTTTAATGAACAAAGATGACTTTGCAGAGATCTATTGCACAGAATGAAAACATGAGCTTTTTGAAAAAGTAAAACTAAGTGACCAACAACTGACGAGTGAGACGTATTTCGAAAGCATTTAGAAATAGCATAAGGACATTATTAATGGTTATGATCCTAAACAAATAAATTAAATTGATACAAATAAGATAACGACTGTCGTTTGATTGAATATTAAATGTTTAATAATCTGCCATAGTTCAAGTAAGTTTATAATGCATTAAGAGCTGTTTAGATCGTCACATTTTCGTGATATAAATTATTTGTAATGAAGTTTTTCAAGGATACAAGTCGTTGATATTGATAGTGGTAAATGTATCATATGTTTATATGAGATCTTATTAGGAATGGGCTATTGGAATCTTCTTGTGGAATTGATTCTCAATTTGGCAACGGCTAGTCGTTCACCTGCGTATGTCGTTGTTTCATTGCTTAAGAAAAATTTAGTATTGAAACAAGCATGGTTTTGGAGAATACTGCGCTAAGGTTCCTTTCGTCAAACAGTTCAGCATAACTCCATGTTTGCAGATTGTGCATAAATCCTAAGACGGTGAAGGTTTTTTATGGAAGCCTTTAGTTTGAACTTGATATGTCAACTATGTTATTTGAGCATTAAGAATTTTTTCAAACTTAACAGCTAGAATTCTATATCAGCGCATGTACGAACGTTCATAAACTGTATAAGTACTCGGGAACCTTGTCTTATTCTTCTCAAAATTGTAAGGAATTTATCGCATATGTAGATGAATCCCAATTAAATTAGTTCTATAACTGTTGTTGTCGGATTTCTTGAAAATTCTCTTGGTTTTCATCTAATAATTATCTAATGAAGCGAAGTTTGAATCAATCATGCAGTGTTTAAATAGAACACGTTAACCACATATATGAAGCAAACTGGTCGAGGAGGCGACTAGCCGCTCAGTTAAAAATTTGTTGTGGTTAAGACTACAGGTCTTGAAGACTTATAGAATAGTTACACGTTGTCTCGATCAGAAAAGTTGAAACAATTTTCGAAAGTGGTAGAAGCCTTCAAGTTCTTCCGAAGAAAGGTCGTGAAATAATTGCTCAACTCGTGTGAAATATTTGAAACTGATATTGTCGTGAATATCTTAATAACTTTTGTTTTGCCTAATTGCTAGTGTATTTGATTCAAAAGAAGTAAGTGTTAGATCTCTGTATCTTTGAACCTGCACTCGGGAATGCATATATGCATCAGAGAGGCCGAAAACGCACAGAAACAAAATGAACCCAAATGGATTTGAACAAAAATGAGGACAAATCTAACCGAAATCGAGTTATAAAAAGCCACTTTGATTTGATCTCTGATCTACTCGTGTAGATTCATGTTAAATATCTAGTGTATAGACTAATTTGAGTTGTAGCTTTACTAAAATGGAGTATTTCAATCATAGCTGTCCTGGATGGGTCTTTTTCTTCACTCCGTTATCGAGCTGATCGAAAGTTTTCGGAACATAGCTTAAGCTACAGCAGATCGGACGCACTTAACTCCACTATCGCTATTTGGTATTAGTAAGTAGTACTTAAATGCAGTTTTCTTGGTGATACTTTCAAGCATGTTTTCTATTTATGCTCGGTTATCAATCGTTTTTTCCATGACAATCATTTCGCAGCTATAAAAATGTGAAGTCTCTCAGCTAGATAGTTTTGGATTTCTACGTTCTACATGACTATATTCTTTCAGTAGATGGTTGGCGACGCTAACGTCGCGTTACTTGTATTTGTAATACCTAATCCTCTGCGTTCTATGAGAAAAGAAAAAATGTTTCCTATATTTTCTACGAATTTTTTTGTGCGAACGATTTATATTTTAGGTGTTTTCTAATCTTTTTCTAGATCGGCGGTACAAGATAGCTCTGTTACAGAACGATTTTTATGGACAGCATGTCGAAAATATCTGATATGAAAGCTTGAGGTAGAATACAGGGAGTGTCCGCGGTGATCATTGGATTGTGACCAAAGAAAAAAAATTGTTCAGTAATAGTTTTCATGTTAGACATGAAAGAATAGTTCGATTTGACCCATTGTGTTCAGAATTTTCTTCTCTTGAAAATAGTACATAATACTCGAGGATCCAACGATCTACATCAAAGAAAAACGATGCATATTTTTCGTGACCAGAAACGTTCGTGAATAGTCTTAACTAGAATTAGTCACAAAGAATGTGCAGCATTGTTCTATGCCGTAGCTTTTTTGCGTCCTCAAGTATTATAAGTCATTTTGAAAAGTGGAAACTCTTAATAACGAGGGTCAAATTAGAATTATTTTTTCACACCTCACATGAAAAGTATAACGGAATACTCTGCTTTCCTTAGGTCACGATCCGATGGTTGCACTAAACCTTACTTTAGACGTATCCAAATCAAACATAGGAAAATTAAAAAGAACTGTTTTCCATCATGGAAAGAGGTAAACAGGTTTTTTTCAAATAAAGCATTTTCTCGTTCTGTACCTTGAAGTAGAGTGAAAACGATTTCATGCGGATAGTGTTCATTTCGAGCCTGAATCTCGATACGTCTCTTGAGCGCAGAGATTTGCAATAGTAAAACAATTTAACTTTACTTTAATGATCCTAAAATTTGTACAAAGTTTCATGGAAGTCTCATACAACGTAACGAAAATCAGTTTTTGAGAGATAAGATGGCGTTAACTACATTTACCAAAAAGGAGTATTATCAAAATAGAACATTCTATACATATTTCGTCACTTTTTTTGTGATAGTTCAGGTATCTTTTGTTTATTGATATGGATTGAGTTTCTAAAAATCATTATCAGCAATACACCATGTTTGTCGTAAATATTAATTCTTTCGCAAAATAGTTTATATTTAAGGTGATACCTTCTTAAATAGGATAAGTTTGCAAATATGATGATAAAAATGAAGAGAAATATTGCAAAAGAACGAAAAATGCTCTTGTGAAAACAGTCTTTATTCTTGACTTATCTTCGTTCTGTGTTTGTCAATCGATAGAAAAAAGAAGAGAGCTAGTAAAATAACAAGCAGCTGTTAACTTGATTAGTATTTTTTCAGTCAGACGGCAATCATTTGTGGACTTGCGCTGTTTATTGACTATATGCTATTGATGTTTTTTTCAGAATAGCAACTTCTGCTACAATGTATCAAAAATTGTGTATGATCTTGATTTCGTGGACATGCTTTGTCGCAACTGAATCATATTTTGAAGGAACACAACTACTGAGCGATGTCAAATTTGATCAGGGCTTTAATGTTATTCCTGCTTGTCATTCGAATCCGACTGAATGTTCTGCTGGACCCCGTTATCGTTTATTCAATCCGTTTTCAACAGCACAAAATAAGAGTCCCTCGTGGGAAATTGTTCAATGGGATAGTCGTTCGAATTTGTCTTCTGATGGTACTTTCATCAGTGATGCAAAAAGCAAAGGTATTCAATGGGCAACCGAAGATAAAAGCTTTATTCTTTTTCAAGACGGTCGAGTACAATTAGCAGTGAATGCCTATCATGAATACAATTGTCACTACAAAGTACCCGATGCTCCTTGGGTGCATCTTCTCATACAACAAACAATAGGACGCGAAGGTGGTTCAGTACCATTAAGCGAAGTCACTGAATTACGTTGGGATCTGGATGTTCATCTTTTGTATATGGATCAACATGTTCAATCAGGCTATAACTCAAACCTTCATGCTGCCATATTTCCACTCTATATGACTATTCAAAATCTAGTATATGGCGATCCTGATTATGGTAAATATTTTTGGTTAGGTATTGGTTTGTATGATGATCGAGTCAGTATGACTGACTTATATGTAAATGGTGATGCGGGCACTGGCTCCTTGATCTATTCCCCTGCATTTTCCAATGTTGCATCAAAGTCTGTAGGCTCAGGCTCTATGGTATATGTCAGCGGCGATATGATGCCATTTGTTCGATTGGGTCTTCAAGCAGCTGTTGAACGGGGCTTCTTGCGTTCGAATAATCTTAGTAAATATTATGTTGGTGGCATGAATGTTGGTTGGGAAATAACTGGATTGAATATTGGAACTATTGAATTAGCAAGCGTTAGTCTCAAACAATATACTGCTCAAAATCCAAGATCGTACGAATTCAATCGCGATGGTAATACAGAAGGGTGGACACCAGTATCCGATGTGGAACAATTGACCAATGGTCCTCAAAATGGTCAATGGATGCTGAGACCTAATGGCAGTGATCCTCAACTCTTAAGTCCTCTACTTATGCTGGACACGATGGTCGTTAAAAAGTTAATTATCAGAATAGCTACTGGAGAGCTATCTGAGGAATACCTACAAGTATTCTGGAGTACAAATAATATGGCAAACTCATTCACTGAATCAGCTAGTTTTTCAATTCAAATAAAACCTGATGATAATTGGCAAGAATATACGTTGGATTTGTCATCCAATATCAATTGGTATGGTATTGTACGTCGTTTACGAATCGATCCTGTACGTACTGGCAATGGTAGTAATTTTGGTATCGACTACATACGATTCGCTTCTTGACAGGAGAAATGATTTTCCTATTGATCTATGGTTTAATAATTTGTCCTAAAAATAAAATTGAATTTCACTGAATTATTTCTTATAGTAACAAACTCACGTCATACTGATCGAAGGTTGACATAGGGAGAATTTTCCGTTCACCCAGTCTCCTTCAACCTCGCCCAGAAAAAGTTTCACACCTCATCTTATCTGACTTTGTCTCGACGAGTTTTAATACGATGATTGTGCCCTTCGACCATATCATTTATTGGACTATACTTAGAAAATAAATAGATACAAGAATCCAATAAAAAAGTTACTCCAGCTTATCCTTCAATCTTGCACTTTATTGTTCTCCATTGAACAAAGAAATAGCTGCCTTTCTTCAACCTCTCAGTGCATATACTAAACGATCATTGTCTGACCTTGAAGAAAAGATGTTCAAGAAAACGCGACAGCAAAAACTGATTGAACAGAAATTGACTGTTAACAAGTGGTCGGCAAGGAAGTTAGTAGATGCGTAAATCAATCTAGAATTTCATATTAAGCATACAGGCTTTTGTCATCAAAAATTTTAACTCTTACTCTCAAATATAAAGATAAACTAACACTTGCCATATTCATAGCATTATATGTCACAAAACGTGTCTCTGAGAAACAATTCTTGATAAAATTAGTATGAGTTAGTTATTCATATTTAAGATTTCGATCCTGTTCACACGGCCAACAAGTTTTAAAATTAATTGTTTTATCGATAGGCTGATCAAAGCCTATATAAATTAATAAAAGTTCTTTTTTCAGCCTTGCTCAAGATTAATATTGGTCTTTTCGGTGAACTTCTCAGACAAGCTGCTGCAATAGTTTAAAATCTACGCTCTTAGCAATCTATTAACCAAACCGTTTTTAAACTTAACGAAATCTAGACGATAATACTGCGTTATTAAGAGATTACGTATATACTGCCTATAAATTTTCTATGATCTATATATTTATTCAAATAGATCCCAGATATAAACTTTGTTTTTAAATAGTTTACAATTTACTTCTTGCTTCTGTCTATTCAATTTTGCCCTTGTTCAGCTTCATCACCTCGATCTAAAGGTTTAGTTTTGAATAGTTTTTTCCCTTCAATTTAAAAACGTGATTTTTTTCATTGAGACTAGTCTTCATCCAAGCAATTGGCAAAGAGTCCGTAGAAATATTGATTAAGATAGCAAACACTTCTTCCCCTTCCCTTCCTCCTTCCCTCCCTCCATCGGAATAGTCTATTTTCATCAAAAAATGATTTTGTGATAACCATACTAAGACACCAGCAAAGCTGTCTATTTTAATCATATATAAAACATTTTTCAAATTTGAAATGTTTCACAGGGATGTATTATTAGTTTCTCAAGCCTTGTATGATAATATTATTAAACGCATCTAAGGAAAAGTCGCAATAAAGAAGTATGGGTACTGGTACCTTCTGCATGCTATATATTTCGCTAGAAGCATAGTTCCACGTTTCTCGTTTAACTTTAGTGATCAGCATATAATATCGCCATATTTCGCGCGCTTATTCAATGATAAGCAAGTCAAATACAGCTGAAAAGCTTTTTCACTTTTCTCAGAACCGTTTAGGTGCCAATGGGAAATCGTCGTAGAAATTGTTTTTCGATATACTTTATTCTATTAAATTGACTGTTCATCCAATAAGGTCTAAACATGCTGAGAAATTAACATTGAACAACATTGAAGCATCAATTATAAGCATTCACATTGGTTATCCAGATGGCATGATGTCTCCCACAAGTATCTCCAGAGATTCAATTAAGCGCCAGCATAGTAGATATAGTACAGATATGAGCTATAGAGATATACGAGGTATGGAAACCATAGGAAATATTGAAGATGTTAGAGACATAAGAGATATTTCAGGGACCCACATGAGCCCACACATTGAGTGTCGTATGTAGTATGAATACCGTGAAAACATGGACACCCGCGTTCGCATACGTGAAGGGCATCGCATCTAATAGGCATAGATATGGGCGTTGGTGTGAGTGTGGATGTGGGTATTTGTGGAAGAGAGAAGGTCTTCTTTTCTTTCTCACGTGCAGTCACAGTCAACCTCACAGTTGCACCGACACTAACACATATCCACGCCCACATCATACATCAGTGTCCACTCAACCACCAATAAACATTTGTTTCTTTCGTATGTATGTGTACGATTATGAATTTTTGTTGAAACCCTATTCATGTAAGTACAAGGGTGACTCACGATGTGCACTGAATAAAAAGAAAAGAGAGAGAGGAAGAGAAACCTTTCGACGAAAATATATTGAAGCTCAATATTTGTGTAGATATGCCATGACAGTGTCTTTTCAGGACTGTAATTTATTCTGCTGATTAGAAAATGAAATAATATATTGATCTAAAAGTATCTTATGAATGGAATTTGTTTTCATTCTTACATACGGAGTGAGACGAATGTAACAAGAGAGTGTGGGCTGTGTTCGATCGGCAACAGCTATTGAAAGTAAGTTCGTACAAAGACAAGTACGGAACATTTTTCAACTCATTCATGTGTTGCTTTGTAAAAAGGTAGCAAAAGTTCGATTGCACAACTTTTCTTTGTACGATTTACACAAAACACTCGTCATAGTTCATCACCAAATTCCCAAAATTTCTGTACCGTCATTATTTTCAAAGCAGTTAATGATTTCGACTTTATACATGCATTTGGTCATATTATAATTCAATTTTAGTCAACTCATTATTGCCACGGATTCAAGCCAGTCACAAAACCTCACGTTATCGTAGCTACTGTAAAAAATGAGCCGACTGATCCTTGCTCTTCTTGTTGTCGATCAGTTCTAAAGATAATATCTACTGAAAGGGTGTTGATGTGGATGTGAGTGCGTAGGTGAAAAGAAGATTTACACTCACTCACACACACCCGACATCCAAATCTACACCCCCATCCTATTTCTGTTAGTTTCCTGAAAAGGACAGGGGCGCATAAGACCGTAATTTGGCCCATTGGACTTTTCATACTATGTACAGCACAATCATATATAGGATGAAAGAGCTTCAACTGGCGCGTACTTTCCAATACGTTTGACGACTTCCTACCTTATGATTTCGAATGATCTTATTACGAATACATAGTAATTACATGACAACCTTTCAGATTAGTTTTCTCTATATAAATTCAAGAAAGTCAGCTTCAATTATACACCACCGGATAGCTCTTTTCACGGACTACAAAACCATATAGTTTTTAGAATTATTGAAGGTGGGCCCATCAAAAACTCCAAGACCANGTTGGTGGAAGTTTATTAAAATTTATTCATGCTATTGATAATTATATGGATATATATCGTGAAACAAAACCTAAAAAAGATCGTTTATTATCTATTGAAAATGATTATAAAAATAATCTTTTTGAATTAAATCCTCTTGAAATAAATATTTAAAAATTAACAAATATATTAAATGATTTTCGAAAAAGATTTGATACAGCTATGAAAGATAAATTAACATTTCAAGATGAAACTAATATAACTATACGTCGTCGTATAGCAGCTGAAAAACTTTTAATTGGTTTTAAAAGTGAAATAGTAAGATGGAAAAATGAACTTTATGAGATGAAACAATATGAAAATTAATTAATTGGAAATTGTTTATTAGCAAGTGCATTTCTTGCTTATTGTAGTCCATTTTCATATGAAATTCGTCAAGAATTATTAAAGTCTAATGGAAAAATAATTTATATGATAAAATTATTTTATTAACAAAAAAATTTTCAAATAGAAAATTTTCCTTTGACAAATAGTGAAATATCTGAATGGATATCGCATGGTTTTCCAGCTGATGAATTTTCAATACAAAATGGTATTCTTACTTTGCAAACAAATCGTTTTCCTTTTTGTATTGATCCACAATTACAAGCTTTATTATGGATTAAAAATCGAGAAAAAAAAATTTTTTAATTTTATCTATGCGTGATAGAGATTTTTTGGAACATTTCGAATTAGCTATTAAATATTCTTTGTTATGAATTCATTAAACAGATAGATTTTTATACTTCGTTATTTATTCATTTTTAAAGTTTAGAAAAAAAAATCAGACATGGTAATTTTCACGTTTCAGAAGACTATTTTTTAACAATGCCATTTTGAAAAGCATAAAATTGTGGACAAAATAAGGAGTTGGCGCGTGTTCTTCGACGTGCCTTTTAAAAAGTAAAAAGTATTACAAAAAACTGAAAAAAAGATGCTTTTTAGTCGATGCTTTGGTAGATTTTGTTTTTAATGACACCCGCAACCTTTTAAATGAGTGTTGTAGAAAATTCAGTGATCCCTCATTTCGTTCAGAATTTTGTGTTCTTTACGACGGCATTGCTAAATCAATGATCTTTTGAGATCTGAAAAGTACCATGTCCGATTTTCTAGATTATTTGGATTTGAGCTAATTGCTTGACATTATAGAGAAAAAGCAAAAAAATATGTTGTTGATAAACATTTTCCCCACCAGCTCACATTAAATCGCATGAAGTTTTCAGAGTATGTTGTCGTTGCAGTGAAATGACTAGACTAAAATTTTCAACTCAATATCATGATTTTCTCGGGAAGTATTTGTCAAGCTAAGGTCAAAAATTGTTCATTTGGTAACTTAGAATTCTTTTGGATCGTCATCAGAAGCAATTAGCTATCTCTTTTTGTTTGGTAGAAGTCACTTAGATACAAAGACTGGTAGAGTCCTTATATTAAAATTCTTCTTCTTATGCAGAAAAAACAGCTGACAAATTCAACACTCCCAAAAGAGTGTCTTTTCAAAAGTGCTTTCCTATATAATAAAATAAAACTGAATTAAAAAATCTGTCTCTGCAACTGAGAATGTTCTTTCAAACAAGTAATAATGTAATTATCTAGAATGAAGCTTCTTTTTTTACGATAGAGGTAGGCAAAGATGGACGGCTGATCCTTAGTAGTTGATTCAATAGCCCGACATCTTCCCTACAACTTATACTAGCTGTAGCTCTAGACAGAAGGCCAGTCTGATACAGAGTGTTTGTGTTCAATCACTTGAGCTCTTCATACAAAGTAACTAATCACAAGAGTAGGTGTATGTTGCAATTGCTAGTGATTCGTCCAGGATCATTCCATGGCTGGTGGCACTGAGGTCTGAACACAGTATCTTGAGGATGCGTTTCAAGCAACGTAATCATTCAGTCATGACGACTATGTCTATTAACTAATCATGTTGATTGTGAAAAGTTATGCGTTTCTCATACTTTTAACTTGTCTGACGAAAATTGTTTTTTTCCGATGGGAGATGCCTTAATTAAAAATGAATTTAAAATTGGGAGAAATAATTTTGCAATGAGATGAAAGACTAAAATTAGTTTAGAATCTAATTCCATTGAATTTAATGTAGGAGGAATAAATATTCATATTCATTTAGATATCCAGTTCTTTTTAAAGATGTTGATGAATATATTGATCCAATAATCTTAGATATCTTATCAAAAAATATTCAAGGTGGTTTAACTCATCAATATGTTAAATTAGGTGATAAATATATTGATATTGATAAAATTTTTCGCATGTATTTAACATGTCGTTTATCAAATCCAATATTATCTACTTTACATTTTTCTTATTCAAAAGTAATTAATTATACAGTAACATTAAAAGGTCTTGAAGAACAATTATTATCTTCACTTGTTAAAATTGAAAGACGTGAATTAGAAGAAATGCGTGAAACATTAATTCAAGAAATATTTGAAAATCAACAACAACAAAAATTACTTGAAGATTCACTTTTAAGAGAATTAACAACAAGTACTGGGTTTGTTTCTTAAAAAACAGTAACAAAATTCTTCATTGGTTGGTTTTTTATTTCGAATTTAGAAATATTCTTGATAATACAGAATTAATTGAAACATTAGAAAATACAAAAATAAAAGTCAGTGAAGTTATGCAAGCATTAAATTTAGGTGAAAGAACTCGACAAGATATTGAAAAATTACGTGACACATATAGATTAGCTGCTAGACGTGGTGCTGTACTTTATTTTACTTTAGTTCAAATGTCAATTATTAATTCAATGGTTCGTTAAACAACATTAAAATAACCTATAGATCAAAAGTCTTGGCACGAAATATTTGCTCATTTTTTTTTGTTTAGTTAGGAATAGAGCTTTTCGCTGTTGCCGAATATATACTCAGATTTTTCTTCTAGAGTCACAATGAACAACTATCAGTGGATTTTGTGAAAAAGTTCAAAATTGTGTGTGTGTGTGTGTGTGTATGTGCAAAGTAAAATAGTGTTTTTTTGCATAGTTATTAGTTTATGTCTTAGAACGGTTTCAACTCTAACGAGCTTGTTTCTATGGAAATCGGTATTAGTCAAGAAAATCACTGTTTCAAAATTGCTTTTAAAAATACAAAAGTTTTTAAATCTGTAATGCACAAGTAAATAGTACTCGTTGTAGAACAAATTTTGCTCTACAAAATTGACCAAAATAGCGTTATGTACAAGCATTTTTTGAAAGAATCTCTTCAGATGTCTCCTTCTGATATCAATGATTTTCTGTCTATAAATACTATCTAGTCTTCGAATAAAAGCTCTAAAACAGGTTGGATTCCTATTGAAATTTGGTTAAGCTATCGAATTATGATCTGAAAATTTACACATATAGAGACTTCAACTAGACTAGCTTCCATTAAAAACCAAATTAGAAGCTCTGAATAAAGCCACCTCAATATATAGAGTTTTAAAGATATAGGCAGTTTTGCATGGATACTGTATAAAGGATGCAGTTTTTGAAAGCAGCATATGTTGAAGAGACATTGCTCAGAACTTGTGAATTTTTTTATCGAAGCTAGCCTAGTTGAGATCTCTATATGTGCAAAATTTCAAATCGAAATTCGAAAATATGATTTTTCCAAAAATTTGAGATCATAGAAGATTTTTCACTAGAGAACATTCCCAAATGTCCGATCGCTTTTTGATTGAGACTATATTCACGTGAGACACCATGATGAGTAGTGTAATATGCTAAGAGATTCGATTGTCTAAGGCTTTGATCTTGAGATATTAAATTTTTATTGTATTTTTTATCAGAAAGCACAATGAAAATTGAATTTCAAATTTTGGCTTGAAACTTTACATATATGAATCTTGAAAAACCTTCTAATAAGTAGAGGTAATTATTCTTCTTATCTTGATATTTCAGGATACGAAATACTTAAACCAGTAAAATTTCTGAAGAAGATCACAGTTTTATGTTTAAAAAGGCAATGAAAATTCGATATCTCAAGAATCATGGCTTAGAAAATCGAACCATCTTAAGATTTTACATTACTTTCTATAGTCGCTTTAGGATTTTCATTTGAACACAATATAGTATTTATAAGGAAATAAACCATTAAAATCTGAGAAAGTTCCTACATAAGTTGCCGAAAAATGAGAAAATATCTTCCGTCAAGACTTTCATGCCATAGATTGTATTAAACTATTTTGTTCTATTTTTCTTTTCTAGTATCAATATTCATTAAATTCTTTTCTATCCGTTTTTGAATATAGTGTAAGAAGTTCGCAAACACATATAAAATTAAATAAACGTTTACAATCAATAATAAATACATTAACATATCAAATATATTGTTATGGTACAACAGGAATGTTTGAAAAACATAAATTACTTTATTCATTTTTAATAACTATACAAATTGAATTAGATCAACAAATAATTAATTATAATCAAATAAATTTTTTTCTTAAAGGTAATTTATCATTAGATAAAACATTAACAATTAAAACAAAACCAATATTTAATTGGTTAACATATGATGCATGGCATCATTGTTTATATCTTACAAAAAATTTTCCTGATAAATTTCAAAATTTATTAATAAATATAGAAGAAAATCATCAGGAATGGAAACAATGGATTGAATATGATCAACCAGAAAATTATTTAGTACCAAAACCGTATGATAATTTATTAAATGATTTTGAACGTTTAATGTTATTAAGATGTTTTTGTCAAAATCGAATTATTTTTTCTATAAATAATTATATAACGAAAATAATGGGAGAAAAATATATTATTCCACCAACAATTTATTTTGATTCTATATTTGAACAATCAACATCACAAATACCAATTATATTAATACTTTCACCAGGATCTGATCCAACAAATGATATTCAAAAATTAGCAGAAAGAAAAAATCATATTCGAAAAATTAATATTGAAAATGGAATAACAGGAAATGATGAACAAAAATCTTTACGAATACTTGCGATGGGTCAAGGTCAAGAAAAATTTGCATTACAAGCATTACATACAGCACAATATCAAGGAACTTGGTTATTACTTCAAAATTGTCATTTACTTTTACCGTTTTTAAATGAATTAGAAAAAGAATTGGAAATATCAACGAAATCACATGTAATTATATTATATCACTCGAATTTAATGAACAGAAAAAAAAACATTTTCGAGATCTTTCGATACACATACTAAATCTGACTGTTTTGATATAAAGCATAATAACTTCAGACTAGATTTGTGCTGAATCCGAACTCTAGTTCGATATTCGGGTTTGATTTCGAAAACCATTTAATCAATTCAGTCACTGTCGAGTCTTTGAGTAATTCCCTAAGTGTTTCTTGAAGTATATGGACAATCACGAAAGTACCTTTACGTTCAGTTAAGTTTGAGTTCGAATATTTCTGAACATTATAGACTTTTTTAGGATCGCTTGCAGATCTCCCATTTTTGGAGAGCTTATTTCAGTGGGTGTAGACCTACCATAGATACGTATGAAGTCTTTTCTTTTATTAATTAACTGAAAATGACCGTATTCATAATCTAAATTGAGCTTCAAAACTAATGTAAGTATCAGAAAATGAAAGATGCCATCATTCAAGAATCAATATTCTATCTGAAAAACGATAACTTTCATAAAACTATTTTCCTTACCAAAACTTGTCGGATCTACATGATTTCAAAGAAATTGTTTTAGTTTGAATTTGATAATAGTCCTGCAAATGTGAAATATGTTTTATTGATTATTTATATTCTGTGACTAACACATTAGATTCGTTCCTCAGACAATCATATACTAGTCAAGTCATTATGGGCTGTTACTTTTAGACTATAATCCGTTGGATTGGTCCCAAACTTGGTTAATAGGAAATTATCAAAACCTAGACTAGCCCGTAGCCAACCTAATGAGTTGAATTTTCCATTCCGGCTGCACTAGTTTTTACAATATTCTATTTTGCTTTAAAGCAGCTTTCGCAGAATGATTAATATTTTCCTCAATAAAATACTAGTTACAACGATTCATACTTTTCTTGCATAGTTTTATTGTTGAGAACAGAAAAACAAGTTTTTCTGAATATCTAATGAAAACATTAATTTCTATCGATAGATTGTGCTAACAAATAGTCTTCTTATTTGTTGAAGATAATGCGATTCTACATTATGAACGAATCATAAAATACTGCTTGCCTTTTTCTCATGTAAAAAAAAAACAGAAAAATTAACAGATACACGATTTTAATGGATTTCAGACGTAATACTAGATGAAAATCAAGCAATACTGATTATAATCCATCAGAATCTATTATAATCATTGGCAGAAGTGAACCATTTAGCTGAACTTAAAATTTAGTTTAGTTTTATTACTTAACAATTAATATTAGGTTTAAATTTTTTGTACTAAACACTCAACTCACTTGACTGAGATGTCGACATTGCTATATAATTTTTTCTTTAGAACTCTGCTTGTCTGATAAGATCAAAGTGTCCAATTTTGACCAGAAACTTTGTACACATCAAGGTTCCATTAGACTAGCTTGCCTACGAAGTTTTACGCATTTGACCAACTAATCTGTCAGATATTAGATTGTTATCATGGAGACGCTTTTTTTTATGGATATTGTGCTATGTCTAAATATTTTGGAAAATTCATATCTAGGCGATAAGTTGTTCAAAGGTTGTAAAAATTTGTATACAAACCGGTTCGATTGAAGTCTTGATGTGAGCAAAGTTTCTCGTGAAATTCGAAACTCTGATAGTATTCGAAAAAGTAGGGTTCTGCTTCGAAATTATACTACACAGTCGATATTGCAGTCTTTTTTAGCATTTCAGAAGATTCACTCGTAAGAAAATAACTGTAAGGCTATAGGTGTAACGACATAGTCATAAAAATATAGCTATAGAAATATAATTATACGGCATAGGCGTAAGAGTTTAGACATAAAGGTATCAGCATTCCTATCTAATTCGTAGGATATAGTGGTTATATTGTAGCAGCAATGTAGGTAGATTTGTAATAATTACTGTGAATTTTAATCGATTAATATATAATAGAATAACTCTTTCGTCGATTATAATCGATTTTAATCTGATTTTTGCCCTATTTTTTTACATGGATTGAAAGAGTAGCATTCTTCACTTTTGTATTCTTAAAAGAAAAAATAAGTGTTTAAATTTCTTTATATAAAACATTTTAACAATTTTCAAGCATCGATTTCTTCTTATTTCAAGATTACATGCAATATCAATAATATATATATATATAATTATATCTCTTTTAATTTCAGCCAGATTTTCGTCTTTGGATGACAACAGAACCAATTGAGAAATTTCCTAGTAAGTTACTTGTATTCTTAAGATTGTAATCATTTAGATTTTTTTTTAGTCGGACTTCTTCAAAAGTCATATAAAGTAGTAATAGAACCTCCATCAACTCTTAAATTAAATCTTCGTTCAACATTTATTAATATAAATTTACAAACATTTACTGAATCTGATCATCCAGCATATCCTTGTATGATATTTATTCTTGCTTTCTTTCATGCAATTATACTTGATCGAAGAAAATATGATAAAATTGGATGGTCATGTTCATATGATTTCAATGAATCAGATTGTAAATCGTTTTTGATTAATAGATCAATAAAATCAATGTTTTTACTTTTCATTTGTTTCAGTTCATGTTTCAGTCGATATTTTAAAATCTTATTTAAACATGAGTTTAGAACGTTCTAGTCTTGAAATTCAATGGCCAACAATACGATATTTAATCGGAGAAGGTATATTTGAACAACATATTTTATGAAACACAATCTATAAGCAGTCTTGAATTATATAGGGTAAAAATGTTCACCCTGCATTCTCACCATGACATACATCCCTAGGAACATCTCTCCTACATTGCAGATCATGGCAGATATCTTGACAATAGTCCCCCTTAGAGTCCTTATGGTTGGCTCCGCATTCGATTGAGTTCTGACCCGAAAATTTTGCACTTAACAGGTTCTACTGCATCCATCCCCGTGTTTGAGACTGTGACAACCATTGCTGATATATAATTATAGATCATAAATCAATACTGAAATAAGAAAGATGGTGAAGAAATGTGTCCCAAAATAGATAAAATATATAAACTAGTCTGGATAGTACTAACAGCTTTTTTTCTTCGATAAAATGATTTCTTGTTTATAGTCATATACGGTGGTCGTGTAATTGATTCATATGATCGACGTACAATTCATACTTATATGAAAGAATATTTTGGAGATTTTGTTTTTGATTATTTTCAACCATTTCATTTCTTTATTGATACTAATAAATCATTGAAATATGATTATTTTATTCCTGAATTACGTGATTTTTTATCGGCAAAACAAAGATGGTTATTAAGAGAAGCCAATATATCAGTATATGTGTTTTTTTTGTGTTGTTTTTTCTTTATTAATTTATTTTAGATTGAACCACAAATTGAATATAATTTCGAAAAATTTTTACCTGATAAAATTTCGAATCTTCTTCAACGTAACATAGAAAAATCAAATTTTGATATTGATCGAATTGAATATCGACAAATGGATTATCAATTTTTATCTAAAAATGTTCTTTTTAATCAATTCTTTCATTATTCCATTTTTCGTGATCTTTATCTAACTTATATTGATCAACTACCACTTTATAATCCACCTGATATACTTGGTTTACATGCAAATGCAGAAATCAATTATTTAACTAAAACAGCTTATGAAATTTACTCAATGATGCTTGATATACAACCTGAACAGCATGACATTGAAGATAGTTTAAGTAGAGAACGTAAGAAAAACAAAACATATGAATCTTATCGAATGAAATCCTTTCTTAGAGAAGTAATCGTGTAGAAATCAACATAGTATCTGTGGAAATAAGGAAAATCTGATTCTATTGTAAAATAAAAGAATAGATTCGAATCAAAAGTTTTAGAGAATTAGCATGTACCTTTTCTTTGTATTAGTATGTCACGTTCTGTGGATTGATAAACTTATTAAATTATACATTGTACGGCTTTGATGAAATGAAATGTTTCTCAATGTTTGAGAAGTCAACCTATAGGAGGGTTTTTAATCTAGTAGGCTACTCGATCAAGCATCTGTGATGCACTGGTAACTATGTAGAGTCTATTGAGACTAGCTTACATCTATAATGATCCGCATCTTTGCTGTTTTCTTGTCGAGTTATAACCATTTTAGTGTCATTATTTCGACCGAAAATTTTGTTCATGAAGAAATCTAATGAATTGTGTCACACACTGAAATTTTCAGTTAGAACAAATGTTTTCTTCCTGTGATAGCAGATTAATAAAAGACCAACGTTGTCTTAATCTTCTCTAAAATATGTATATGCATTAAAGATATGATATTTGAGGGAAAAAAACATTCGTCCTAAGTAATCCCTTCGATATACAATATAGATCATAAAATCAGTGAAATAACCATAACTCGAAAAGAAAGTAATAAGGGCACAAATCATCATAGAATTTGTATATTTCCAGTAGACTCTACTGAATGACATAAATTTCGTCTCACAAGCTTTTTATCACTTGACGAAATTTCTTCGTCAATGAATAATTCCTCTAAATTCAGTACTTATGCTAGAGTAATATTAAATAAATCTTTTTTCGAAATTTCGAACATTTGATGTTAATATAGTTTTAGAAAAAGCATGAGCTTCATTGACTTTTTTTCTCAAGTAACTACAAATCTTTCACAATGTGTAATGAATTGTCTACATAAAAGTTTCCACACATGTCAAAATGTAATTCTAATACGATATTCATGTCGTGCCAATGATCATCACTAAATATTTCTTATTCTATGTTTGAATTAATCAAACTCTTTTAAGGTTTTTCTTTAACAAGAGCTGATTTTTACCATTATTTCAACAATGGAAGATCATGCTCAATGAATTTAAGAAGATCTCTATCCGAGAATGTTCACAAAGAGATTAAATCATCTGAATTTAGTTCATAAAAAAAATATCTTTCACAACATCTGTTAAGTTCAGTTTTAATGTAATCATTATCACAGTAATTTTGTATTTAATGTTGGTAGACATAGATTTTTATTTCGTAAGAAATTTTAATATAGAAAATAATCGTGTATTGCTTTTCTTTTATCCAAATTTTTGAAGCATTATAAAATATCATTTATTTAGAATTTGTTTTATCATTAATTGATGATATTCTTCAACAAATTCCACCAAAAAAAGATCTTAATATTATAAAACAAAAATTTAAACAAATTTTAACACCATTAACAATTGTTCTTGTTCAAGAAATTCAACGATTTAATTTACTCACATCAATTATGTGGAAATCAATGAATGAATTAAAACAAGCATTAAATGGTCAAATTAATTTTTCTTATCAACTTGATGAAATAAGTAAATATCTTTATCATGGACAAATACCATTATTATGGAGATCATATACACCACAAACAAAAAAAACACTTGGAAGTTGGATTGAACATTTTCAAAGACGAAATCAACAATATGAAAAATGGATATATAATGGTAAATAATTATTCTTTTATTTCTAAAATCTCTTAAGATTCTTCTTTTTTTTCCTATTAATTTAGGTGAACTTAAAATAATTAATTTAAGTGGATTGCATGTACCTGAATCTTATTTAGCTGCTATTATACAAATAGTTTCACGTAAAAATCAATGGCCTTTAGATAAAGTAACATTTTATACAAATGTTACAAAATGGCAAAATATAGGTTCGAATTTATGTTTTTTTTGTGTTTTAAAATAAAAAAATGTTCATTGTCAATTTAGATGATGTTGATGAATCTGTTCAAGGTATTTGTTTAATTGAAGGTTTGTATTTAGAAGGTGCTGCATGGGATATAGAAAATAATTGTTTAATTGAACAATCAAATAAACAACTTATTCAAATGATTCCGTTAATTAAAATAATACCTATTGAAACACATCGATTTAATATGAATAATTATTTACGAACACCAGTTTATGTAACAAGTGATCGTCGAAATGCAATGGGTATTGGTTTAGTATTTGAAGCTAGTCTTTATTCAAAAAAAGATCTTTCACATTGGATACTCAATGGTGTATGTTTACTATTGAATACTGATTAAATGACTCTGTATATTAAAGAAATTATTGTATTTTATTTTACAAAAGTAAAAAAAAAAAATACTGAAATAATGCAACTATCGGATGTAAAAGAAGTTTTTCGATATTCTTTATTTTGCATATAAATCTATTCAGAAACATGATAAAACTTTCATCTTTTTGTTTTCACAAAAACATTTTTAGATAAAATCCAATTTCATCCAAAAAAGAAAATTCTCTAAAATAGATAATCAATTAGATCGATACCATATTAAAATCCGAACTATTTTTGGAACAGATACACAGACAATTCATAAGGAATTTGCAAAAGCATTGGAAGCTAACGCTTTACCCCATCCCAAATTGAAAAGGTTAGGAAAGTGTTTCTTTGAAGGAAGAGAAGATGTTCATGATCACTCTCGATTTGGTCATCTGGTTTTCTAGCTGACAGACAGAAATGTTGAGTTAGTACAACAAGTTCTCAACAGTGATATTAGAAAAGTTAGCTCACGTTAGGTACCTTATCAACTCAATCATGAATCTAAGCAAGAATGAGTTAGAATTAATTGTGATAATTTGGTGAAACTTCGTCCTGGATCATAGCTGTTGTGTATTATTATTATAAGTGATAAGATATGGATTCATCATAGATTGATTAGATATAACTAGCGTATGAAAAATGAACTCAAGTCTGTTGTCAATGAAATATGAAAAGGAAGAAAGTCATCAGTTGAAAAGGTATCGAATTACTTCATGTCTATGGTCAATATCATATGGATTTAGATGTAATTATTTATTTGATACAAGAACGTATCCATATATCACTGTATCCATTGCTGTCACCATGATCTGGTATCATGCAATTTTCAACTTAATGATTATATCAATCAAAATTAAGCTAATCAAACAAATGAAAAATTATTGACTTCTACGATTTCCAAGATAGTAAAAAATATTTGACAAATTGCTAACAAGGATTGGGGCCTGTGTAAATAATCATGCTCATGACGGCTGTTGTCAACATTTAATAAAATAAAATTAAAAATGTCTTTTTTATTTAATGTTGAGAGAAATTCTGGTAAAACCTAAGTAGTTTCTCTTCGACGTGCTTTTATCATCTTCAGTTGAAGCCAAATTCTTATTGTATTATTTTATTTATTTGGTTTATTAAGCTTAACACATTTTTAATATATTTCAACACTCAAGGTAGTTTAATCAAGGAATTTATGCAACGAGTTCACTATTTTTAGGCAATACATTGGAGAGCAGCATAGTAGAAAAATGTTTTATATCAGTGCGAAATATCCAGATCAATTGATACAGACATCATTCTTCACTTGTATTTAAGATCACAATAAGTGATAATCCTCGTGCTTTAAAGGTCCCACTAGATATCTGATTGATTCCAAGCATTATAGTCAAAACCAATAAACAATAATTATCAAAGCAAAAATCAAGAATTTTCTCATTTCTTTTATTTTTCCTTGTAGGAAATAGCATGACGAAACACATGTTCTATCTGAGTGGTCTATTCATTTTTCGAAAATAGCTATAAAGAGTCGCTCTTGTGATTCGAATATAGCATATAATGACGAATCTTTTGAAAAAAAAGATAAATGCTTTCTCATTTTCTTTAACAGAGTATCATGCAAACAAAAAGATTGCTGTAAAACTTTTGTTACACCCAGTATTAATACGGAAAAATATGCTTTGAGAGTTGATTCAAATCTATATAGCTTGTATATAGTGACTTTTGTTTCAACGCAACAGTTTCATGTTGTACCTTATACGAGTAAACAATCTGTTTTCAATGAACCAAGAATAATGGCTTGAACATATATTATTTTATCTTGAAAGCATCAGTAGAAAACTGTTTATTCAACTTTGAGAAAATATCAGTACTGATACGACTTTTTCAATGGATGCATTTTATACAATAAAGATCCCTATCAGAATATGAAGGAGGTTTCTATTCATTTTTTCTCACTTCGATATGTTGAAAGTAATATTTCATTTTCTGTAACTGCCTATAAAGATTACATTTCTTTGGAAGGTATAGTCTCGATTGGATTTTAAGCTTCTAACTTAATCATTAGGTATAAACTAATTTTATAAAGTCGTTTAGCCTACAACTAAAATATGTTAACTATAAACTACAAATACAAACAAAAACACATAGAGATACAATCAGGCAGAACGAAACGTACTCAATTCGAACCAGACATGAAGAAGGTTCTTATTTTGAAAACATAATATTGTTCATGAACCTGCAGTTCGAGTAAACGATGGATACATTCATGGGATGTGGCCGATTGATCCGGTTGCCACAGCGTGTGGTGAATGTGATGATTTTCTCTTCATCCACATCTATATCCTCACGAAGAATATCTGTACACGGACTCCAATACTTAGACTATTATCTGTGCAATTCATGAAATGGATTTGAGTACAAGTTACCAACGGCAGCTTAAATTTCATAATGAATTGCGCAAAAAAAAGCTAAAAAATAGTCTAATATAATTTGTAAAAATGTAAACCTGTGGTTTTTCATAGAATCAGTTTTCTTGGAACTTTTATCATCAGTTTTTGTCAGACTCTCCAGCCACGTTTCATTTATGTCATTTTCAATAGCTAGGTGTGGGTGTGGGTGTGAGTGTGGGTATGGGTACGAGTGTGAGTGTGGGTGTGGATCACACTCTGCTCTACGGGTACACCCACAACCACCAAACACACACCCGACTACCCTGGCCACATAGAACGACTTGGGCCACTGATATTTTCAGCAGAGATAGATCTTTTAATGCTCTATTTACAAAAGCATTTTCAGACATTTGCCTCATTCTAATCAAAACTTATGAACTACCAAAGTTACCAAAAAAGTCTCTTTTTGTATAAAATGAGTGATTCATAAAATCTCAACGGCTCAATATTTTGAAATAAAAATTTCATAGAAAATAGGACTCACTGAAATATATACCATTAAAAGATTTTAGCTCAATTTGTCGAGATATTCGTGAGATACCATCATATAAGGATCCCCTTGCTGGATATACCCACTTTTAGGACTTTTCGTAAAAAGCTAATAAAAATCAAGGGAGCGATATTTTTTAAAACGGTTTGCGGCAAAATTCGTAAAACACTGACCTCTACAATATATCTTAAATTGAGCAGAATCTGACGTTTTCGATTGAGCAAGTCCGGTCGTGGCTTCCAATGAGTAGCTCTTATAAAATATCGCTCTTTTCACAAAAAACACTTTCCTTGACGGAAAAAATCAAACCCAAAATTTTGAAAATCTGACCGCAGATTCGAATTCCCCGACCTCGATTACCTGTGAAAGTTTCATCAAAAGACTGAAAATCCTAAAAATAAGCTAACCGCCGATATGTTTTTTTGACCTGTCACAAACAGACATACGCACAAACGCAATTTATTTCATATGACCCTTCCTACAGTCGAGGAAATGATACTACAAAGCGTTTTACTGCTTTGATAGATACTGTTGTACTTCATGATTCATCAGGTTCCATGATATTCCTTGACTATTGGGAAAAAACTTTAAATGATACTGAACTATTCAACATGCTACTAGCATCAATAAAGCAGCTTCTTATGTTGAATGCAGATTATTACCAATATGGACTCATTGAACCATTGTTAATATCTTTAGCATTTCATAACAATACATTACAACGTTTGCATCTCGTATTTGGCACACCTACTGATTCATAGTCATCAATACTCTCTGAACTCGTTCTTCGTCATATTTCAGTACACACTATGATATTAGAAGTCGACAAAGGTATGTCATAAAATCAATTCTAAAAGAAAAAATCCAGATGACAGACTGTGCTACTGTTATAATAGGATTATTTAATTTTACAAGATGAAATCTAATAATTTTAATTCTATAAAAGACTATTATTGTATCATTAGATTTCGAATAATCTTTAAATTTCAATTATATTCTCATAGTTACACGTTTGAGAATAAAAATATTCTCGAAATCGATGTCTAATCAGCGTGAAATTCTGCATCGGTTGATGTACTTATTGGAATAAACAGAGACAAAAAATTGTCGACCAATTCCTGAGGGGGGGAGAGTACAAGGTCGAAAAAATTAGCTAGGTGAATTGCAAAAAACTAAGTCGTAAAAAATGTTCCCCATGGTTGACATGCTGTGTCTAGGTGGTTTTTATGCTAAAATGATGGGGATGAAAAATGGTCTTACCGGTACTTATCCTTTCGAACTACGATCAACTTTATTTGAGGTACTTTATTATACTTTAATGTACTTCAAAGTACAAAAGTATGATGTTTCCCCCTTGCACGCTCCGGATCAGAATAAAATTTTTCAAAACATGCACTAACACCACAAATATCACCGCCTTGTTGAAGACTTTTTAATGTGAGTATAGCCGAATCAGTGCAGGAAGGAGAGCATTGATATTGAGGATAATATTCTCCTTTCTTATAGCACATAGAAATATATCTTTGTTGCAGTTAGTTCTAGGAAAAAACGAATACTTGATGCATCGAAGAGCTAAATAAAATGATTACGTTGTGCCTTGCAATAAACCTGAAGATGAACAAGTTCCAGAAGGGCTACTAGTAGAACTACCAGAAGACTAAATACCGCATTTTCCATTCACACAAACCAACGATCCATCACAGTCATTTTCAGTTGTACATGGAGCCAGAAAACAATGTCCTATCCAGGTACATGGCTCATCGCATTCTGTACTACCGCAATTTCTGCCACACGGAATGGATATGGGTGTGAGCATTGTTCTTATACCCAAACCTAAACCCACATTCACACCCCACACTCTATCCTCTGTCACTTTCTCTTCTCCTGGGGAACATTTCGCCCTGTAAGGTTCTCATTTTCATTAAATTTCATAGTTTTCTGATTATCATCTAATTGGAATGATTTTTTCTAATGTTTGCTGCTATTCTGTTAGAGCATCCATCAGCTTCTCAAGCTTTTGGAATTTGTTATAAACCTTCCCAAGTTTGCATT